AAAATAAATAATAAAACAAATAAAATTAAAACAAACAACAATGTAACACCTCAACACAATTATCACACCAAATTAAAATGTTTAAGTAAGTTAAATCGCAACCTAGAACGAACGATGCACATGTATACATTTTTTCGAATTTTCGTTCTTTTTAACGACTGAATTATGATTTTTGATTATCCTGACAGACATGCTTTGTATTTTGATCGGTGAGATTAAATGCAAAGTGGGCAGACCCACAAATGACTAACAACACATGTCTCGGAAAGCGACAAATTGTACAGTGAGGTCATTTATCACTATTTGTTTTCCTTTTGGAGTGATTGCTCGTGAAGCAAAAATCACGTGCTTACACCCCAAAACCTTCAATTTCCAACTTTCCCCAAATGACCTACGGACCTCTAAATCCACATTCAGACGCGCTTCTAAGACCAGAATCACAATACGGAGCTATTTCCAGGCTCGAAATCCCAAACAAACATCGATAACATTAAAATACACTTCAACCCAAATTTATGAAATTCTTCCAAAATGCCAACTTCCCACAATAAACGTCGAAATGCTTCCGGGTCATCCAAAACACGATCCGGACATACGCCCAAGACCAAAATCATCATACGAACCTATTAGAACATTTAAATCCCAATCTCGAGGCCGTTTGCTCAAAAGTCAAACCTTAGTCAATTCCTCCAACTTTAAGCTTCCGAAATTAGAATTTTCCATCTGAATCAATCCGAACTTCTCGAAATTTAATTCTGACCACACGTACAAGTCATAATACTTGAAGTGAAGCTAGTCAAGGCCTCAAACCGTTGAACGACACGCTAGAGCTCAAAACGACCAGTTGGGTCGTTACGCGTACATGGAAGATAGTGTGTAGGATGCACCAATTTATAGCTACTACAACAGTTACTATTACAACAATTACCGATGCAAACATCAAGGGATAAGGTTTGATACATGGGTTGCTACAAAAAGTTGAGTCTACTGGATGAGCAAACTCTTGTGCAGCACCAGGTATCCAAAAGTAGGACAGTCGCGAGTAATATGTTGGTGATGGCGTCGCAAAAGATGGAGGGTCAGTCACATGGACTGCAGTAGTCCATGGTGGTACCAATTGGATAGTAGCATCACCGAGCCGATCTACGTGGAGCTAGTCAGTAACAAAAGGGGTGGGGCTTCAAAAACTTCAGGTTCTGCAAAGTCCTCCACTCTATTACCTTTGTTTCCTAACTTGTCTGCTACACTATTTATCTCTATGTTCGTGTGGATGACTAGTGGATCATGGAGCTTGCGGAGGAGGTGCCTGCAATCAGAGAGAATATTATCATAAAAAGGGGCGATCTTTGTGCAGTAATGTAATTACCTTCACATCATCTATGTTGACTTATAAGGGCAAAAATTGCATCTGAAGAGCTAATTATAGTCCCTGTAAGAGTGCATCTAGTTCAATATTTAGATACGTGGTGGGCGATACTTTGCCCGCAAAACCGATTATCCAGTCACCTGTAGAGATGTGTATGACTCTGCCGATCCTATAATTTCTCGTGGCTTTCACAGCCTCCCCGTTAGTGTTTAGCTTGTATTGATTAAGTTTGGGTGGTAGCCATTTCAAAGAAAAAGGTGTTTAGGATGTTAGAAACCTACTAAGCAGCTCGGTACGTGAATTCAATTGCTTGATGCACAATGGATTGGTGTGGGATGGAGAGTCTTTTGTGTTCAAATACATTAGTGTTTCTAGTGAACCAAATACTCCACAAGGTTAGAGGAACAAAAGTATGTGGATGAATGTTGTATGGTATATGGTTGTGCTTAGTATGAATAAGTGTGTGCAGCCACTATGATGGTGGAGAGTGGTGCGCGAGGAAAGTGGGAAGAATGTGTAGGCGTAATCTTTTCCAACGGGTTTGAGCATTCGGGCAGACCAAGAAGATATGAGTGGATGTCTCATTGGGTGCTTGGCAATGGGGCATAAGGCATCCGATAGCAAGACAATGTGGTGCAGGTAGTGTCCGGTAGGAAGTCATGGTTTAATAGCCAGAGAAAATATCAGATTTTTGGCGTTATAGATAATGTCTAGATCCATTTAAAATTAACTGTATGAGAGTGTGTTCCCAAAGTATCATTAATTAGAGATTTGTACTATATCTAACGGAAAATGAACCACTACTTGTTAAAGCCCAGAATATGCAATCTACTTAATAGGTATATTGAGATATATGAGTACTGTGCATGTGGTCCTTAATGTTGGAGGGTATGTCGTGCCATCGTGGGTTATATTATCCCAATCACATCTAGTAGGAGTATGATATTGGTGAATTATTGTGGTTACGTTTTGAAGTGGCGATAACCCCTAGATGGCAGATCGCAAGGATGTGTACCCGTCCCAATCCAAGGATCATCCCAAAATTTAATATGATGCCCAGAGCCATTTGCCATTGCAACCCATGTTGACAGAATGACCATCCATTAATAATATTCCTCCAGACAGGAGAATGAGTTGTATTGGATGTATGGAGATGCAGATATTTATGAAGCTGAGTCGAAGCCCAAAGGGTAGTAGGTAACTGAAAGAGTTTCCAGGATAGGCTCGCGAGAAGGGCTTGATTTTTAGTATGCAACCTCTGGATACCCAGACCTCCTGTGGCTTTAGCAGTGGTAACAATTTTCCAATTTAAAAGATGTAGTTTTCTCCCGGTGGTTGTCATGCCCCATGGGAAATTACACTGGTATTGTTCTATTTTGTGAAGGATTGAGGAAGAAATTGAGATAATTTATATCACATGATTTGGGAGACTATAAAGCATGGACTTAATAATAGTTGTTCATCCGGGTAATGTGAGGAAATTCGATTTCCAACCATCTAGTCCATTCTTAAAGTATCCAGCAAGAATTGGAAGTCATTGCATTTGGGTCGTTTATGAAATATAGGAAAATCAAGGTATTTCCCAAAGGTCGTACCTCTTTCCATTTTAAAGGAACTGAGGACGAAGTACTTATCCGTAGGAGTGTAATTCTTAGAAAAGAAGATTTTTGACTTCTCAAAATTTATCTTTTGTCTTGAGTGAGAATTAAAATGATTAAGAGTATAGATTGTTACGTGATATCTCTTAGTACCTATTTTTTAGAGTAGTATAATATCATCTACAAAAAAAAAAGTAAGACAAGTGAGGAATGGTTCTAGAAATAGAAATTAGTTTCCAAGCGAGGTAGTCCATCGATAAGGAGATACTTTGAGAAAGCATTTCTATGCACATTATAAATATGTAAGGTGAAAGATGATCTCCTTACCTAAGTCCCCTATAAGGGAAGAAAAATGGCGTACTTGTACCATTAATAAGTATGGAGGCGGACATGGATGTTCAGCAAGACATAATTAGTTTGATGGTAGATGTTTTGAAAATTTAAAGAAATGAACAGTCTGGTAAATAAAAGACCATTCGAGCCTATCAAATACTTTTTGTAAGTCTAATTTAAGCATCACGACGCTCTGGTTGCCATACATTTTGGTAAAATGGTGTAAGATCTCTTGGGCAATAATCGCGTTGTCTGATGCTCGCTTACCTTTTTGGAAACTTGACTGTGTAGGGCTTATGATTTTAAAAATAAAAGGCTTACTACAGTTAAGGATTATTTTGGTAATTATTTTGTATATGGTATTGCAAAGACTAATAGGGTGATATTGAGCATTACTACTGTTATTTGTAACTTTTGGAATAAAACACAGATAAGTTTGATTAATATCCAAGGGTATAGCATGTTCTCTAAAGACTTGGTGGCATAATGATGTGACTGAAGGGCATACTTCATTCCAATAGTTTTGATAAAACATAGGGTGTAAGCCATCAGGCCTCAGAACTTTGAAAGGTTTGAAAGAGTGACGTACTTGTCTAATTTCAATGTCCCAGAGTGGCTCTGAAGAGTAAGATATTCTTGAGGAGATAAACAGTGAGAGTAGATTGCACATGTTCAATAGTAAATAAATTTGTGTAGTAAGTTTGAATGGTGCTATGTATTTGGATAGGGTCATAACACCAATTTCCAACAGAGTCCTTTAGAGCTGAGATACATTTTTGTCTACGTTTATGAAGAGTAGACATGTGGAAAAAATTTGGTATTGGCATCTTCATCATTGAGCAAACTAATTCATGATTTATTTTCAAACTCCCTCTCCTAATTTTAGGAGTGAGTTGTGTTCATTGGTAAGCTGGACTTCTAAATTTTGGAAGAACGAGCTAGTGGGATTATGGACAGATGCTTGAATCCCTGCAATCTAATAATTTTATTTTCCTGGCAAAAATGTTGCCAAATGAGTGCTTATCAGTGAAGAATAGTAGTTTTGAAAGCCTCAGTGGCGTCGATCAGATTATTATTCGTTGATCAAGTTTGATGAACTAGTTTTCGACAATCTGGATGAGAGAAGTCCAAATTATTTCAAAGTGAAAGTTTTTTGGATAGGAGCACGTTGTGCCTCTAAAGTAATTAACGAAGGACAATTATCGGAGTGGGTTCGTGGTAAATGACGAACCATGGCTTCGGGATAGCAGTTTATCCAGTCATAATTTTATAGGACACGGTTCAAGCGTTCGAGTATGGCATAACCATGTTTGCGCTTGTTTGTCCAGGTTTAGCGGCTGCCCCTAACTCCTAAACTATCAAATTACAGTAGTTAAGATAATTTGCGAAAGAGTCCGACTTGTGATTGCTAATGGGGCGTCCTCCAAACTTCTTTGATGTTCGGAGAATGTCATTAAAATTGCCCCTATGTGCCAAGAACCCTTATACAGATCATGCATGGACATCAAGTTATTACACAGAATATCACGAATTTACATGAAGCTTTAGCATAAATAGCGGAAAACAACCACTTAGAAGGGTTAGGCCATACCTGAACCATACATTGTATTTCATGTTCAGACATTCGAAGCTCCTCTATAGTGATTAAAATAGTATTCCATAAAACAACTAACCCGCTTGAAAGGCCATTAGCTGGAACTTGGGATAGATTGGTGAACTGAAAATCGTCTCTAAGTATGGTGTGATCCTGCATGTGAGTTTCTAGAAGGACAGCCAAAACATGCCTACAAGTATCAAGTAAAGAGCTGAACTGATGCCTAAACTCCGCATTATGCGATCATCTGAAATTCTAAATGATTATGTTCATAATTGATAGATTGGGTATTTGGGTTAGTCCACAACAAGCGAATTAAGAACTGGAAGATGGTCCACTCCTTGGGCTTCCTGGTGCAGAGCAATATGAGGGGTTGTTCCGCAAAGCGTCAGAATTATAACCATGGCATACTTCTCTGCCTTGCGATTGCCATTGGTTTGAAAATTGAGACTGCATTTTTCTAGACCGAGGGGATATTTGAGGATGAATTTTTTTGCATACTGTTCTTTGAGAATGTACAGATAGATACCTTTTAAAAAGAAACTCGTTCCTTGTTTCCCTTATTTTTGCCGTTATCTCCTACCTCTCAATGTATTTCCTTATCGAGTGTTTTGGAGGTGGAGGTGGAGTGCGTGGTGGACTCTGTGGGGGGTTAGGGGATCGTAGGGGCTGGTCGGGTACGGTAAAGGTATGGCAGGGTTGAAGGCGTTGATTTTGCTGGAACCATGGTGCATATATCGGTCCTGAGTAGTGTGGTGGGTAGAAAGGGAGCAAATTTATGGGTTGGTGCATTTGGTGAGTGGATGGATGCATGTGGTAGCTCCATTGGGGAGTCGAGAGGAGAAGGGGCGGTTGTGATCGACAAGAAGTGGGGTTTGAGTCATTTACCACTGGCTCTGGCCATAGGCGTCCATTCCTAGGTGCATCCCCTTGGTGACTATCTCCGCTAGGTGGGTTAGATTGTGGACTAGGAGGGCCACTTCCTGATTGTTGAGTTCTATAGTGAAGGTCAGTGCATAACCCTATAAGTCCATCTCCAGCTATGACTGGAGGGGTTGGTCCTCTGAAAAGATTGAGAGGTGTAGACTATTGGTGCCTTAGGGCGGGGGTTGCGTGATTGGTTCATGGTTAGACGAGGTAGATGAAAGCACCAATTATTGTTTCTGATAGTTTCTCTTAGGTAAGTATGCCCGTGATTGTGTAAAAGAGAGGGGTGTTGCATGTTCTAAGCTAGTCGATGATAGAAGCAGGGTATTATGATGAGAGATTAGGATTGAGGAAGTGGGTTCACTTAAGATAGTGGCCGCTGAAGTCAGTTTTGTGATTGTTGAAAAGGGGATGGCTAGACTTGTAGACGTATGGTTGATATTTCTGAGAAGAGAATCACATAGGTGTAAATCATGATGTTCTTGTAGAGAAGGAATTGGGTTGTGGAATGAAGGTGTTGTATGGGTGGTTAATGGTGGAGATGTAGCATGCAAAGTTGCGGTGCTGAAGTCTGAAGAGATCAATAAGGAAGAGAGGGTGTCTGCAGGAATTGTTGAGGTGGCGTCATTTATGGATGGGGCCTAACCAGCTGTATTGATAAGTGAGTTATATGGCTTTGTGGGGTAAGGCTCACTGTCAAATTTAATATTTGGGGAGACAATTGCTTGGTGGGCTAGTGAATGATTCTCGTAGGTAGTATAGAGGGACCGTGAAGGGTATACGACTTGTTGTTTGCCAGAAGGTGCAAAAGGTCTTTTCCCCTTAGACGTCGAAATGGGCCGTGGACTATATTCTTGGACCAAGTTAGTAGACTCAATGTTACATCTCGCATTTTCGTACCTTAAAATTTTATTTTCAGTTAACCGACGTAGATTCGGAAAGAGATCATCTTAACGTTAACGTACTTACGTTATTTATAACAAACGATAAATAAGTATTATGAAGGATAAAGAGGTACACGGATTAAAGAAAACGAGTTTCATTGAAAATGAACAATTTGGAATAAAATACGGGTCGGACGATAATACCCGATAATTATGAACTAGTACCATGCAAGGCACCATATGACCACGGTAGTATAATATATAAAGTATATATGAAGTATTTTAAAAATAAATAGAATTTTAAGTAATTTGTGATAATTTTTAAATTATGCGGGTAATTAATTAATTATCGGGTGACAAGACATTATCCAGTTAACTAATAAGTGGATAAAAAAATTAATAAATTATCCCTCCCTACCCCACGTGGCAAGAAGCCACACAATTGGAAATGACTAAGTAGTCATTTCTGCCAGATGACTTTTTATCATTTCAACCAGGGCGTGACTAAATTCTTAGCAAATAAGACTCAGTTAGGAAACTTAATAAATAATTCATTAGATAAAAAAGGGCACATTTCTGTATTTGGTTTTCAAACCAAGGAAGTTAGAAACAATATCATTTCATCCAACATTCAAAAATTCATAGCAAAGGTTGGTTCCAATTTCAGAAGCAGAAACGTTCCATTTCAAATAATTCAAGTCAAGAATTTCGTTCCAATTACATCGCATTCTGTCAAAAAATTCGTCCAAATTTCGTTTCAAGATTTCAAGCAAAAATTTCGTCCATATTTCGTAAAAGCAGATTCGTTCAAATAATTCCAGGAACAGGTATGTTAAGGCTAAGCTCTTCCTTCATTTTGCATGATCTCGTAATTACAAAAATTTGATAACGAGTCACACAGAAAAATTCATATCCCGGAATTTACGTATATTTTGCTAGTCTCGCAGGTTACGTATATTTTTCTAGTTTTGTAAGTTACAATATTCTCCTTATCGGGACTTCATATTCAATTGAGTATTTTCTTCTTCCAGTCAAAAGAGCAGAGAATTTATATATATAGTATTAAAGTATTTTCATTATCATCGAGATATAATCGATGGACAGGCCCCTATTGGGCAATCTCTAATTAGATGGTATGTTATATACCGAGCCTGTTGTGGCTGAGCGCCTATGAGCGAGCCCAGTTGGTCGAGATACAGAACCAGTGAGCCTACTACGGTAGAGCAGATATATATATGTATACTGAGCCTTATAGGACCGGACAACTATTTTACTCACTATATTGAGAGAGTTGAGTTAGTATCAGCTGATGAGCATATCCTCAGATTATCTTTGATCCCCAGTTGCTTGCAGTTATTATATCATCAGTTCTGTTTCAGCTTTCAGTTTATTGTCTTACATACTCGGTACATTATTTCGTACTGACATCCCTTTCTGGGGGCGCTGTATTTCACGCGTGCAAGTTCAGATAGACAGACGGGTAGACCTCCTCAGTAGGTGTTGCTCGAGTTCAGCTTTATCGGTAAGCTCCCCTTCTGTCAGAGTTGCCGGGTCTAGCAGTGTGGTGTATATATTGTGTATATATGTAGATAGGTTATGGGTAGGTCGGGGCCCTGTTCCGATCATAATACATCTATCAGTAGAGGCTTGTAGACATATCCTATCGGTTAGTATAGTATGTTGGGCCTATAGGCCCTGTAGGAATATTTTGTTGGCCTGTCAGTTGTAGTAATTATGACGGCCTTGCCGGCCAGCTTTATGTTGACATTAGTCAGTGTTACTCTCCATGTAGTTTTATATTTTGCATCGCATATTATCTTGTGATGTGGCCTATAGCCAAAGTATGACATTACATATCCAGAATCTCTTAGTCGCAAGTGGTACGCAAGGGTTGATGAGGCACTAGGTACCGGTCTCGCCCCCGGGCTCAGAGCATGACAAAAGTGGTATAGAGCAGTCCTTTCCTAGGGAGTCTACAAGCTGTGTCTAGTAGGGTCTTGTTTATAGATATGTGGTGCACCATATTATATAAGCAGGGGACTACAAGGTATTTAGGAGTTGGTTACCCTTCTTTCAAATCTAAATCATGTTGTAGCACTAAGTTATAGGAAATTTGAGTTATACTTATGTGTTGACGTTTGCATGCACAGATGACGGTAACTAGGAAGATTACGGCTAGCCAGATGAGAGAAACAACAATAGGTTAGGTGACTAGCAGGGTACCCCTAGCATATGGGGCCCAATCAGAGTCGTAGGGAGAGACCCCTACCCAACGATTACCGGCTCCTCCACCACCTGAGGAAATTCCTAGGGAGACTACACATCCAGTTCCCCCTCCGCTTCCATCAGATCAGGACTTGATGAGTGTGGTACATTTGTTGGCACAGTTGGTAGCTACCCAGCAACAGGCTAGGGCATCTGCTAGTGCATGACCTTATGAGGGATCTAGGAGTTCAAGGGTTCGAGAGTATTGCTTTAAATCCCCCAGAGTTCACGGGGACAGATCAGAAGGAGGACCCGCAGGATTTCATAGATCAGCTTCATGGCATCTTTCGGGTTATGCATGCCATGGAGAAAGAGGCAGTTGAGTTAGCAGCTTTTTGACTCCGGGATATAGCCATCGTTTGGTATGAGGGATGGTAAAGGTCTAGGGGACGTGATGCACCTCCTGCTATTTGGGAGAATTTTTCAGATGTCTTCCTTGACCAGTACTTACCACGAGAGATCCGACAGGCCCGACTCGATCAGTTTCTAGCCCTCAAGCAGGGCAATATGAGTGTTCGAGAATATAGTCTCCGTTTTGACTCATTGGCCAATACAGCATCCATAGTTGCTACTATGCAGGATAGAATCCACAAGTTTATAGTATGGTTGGCCCCAAAGTTATCCGAGGCGTGTGCCACCGCTGCATTACAGGATAGTATGGATATCTCGCGGATTCGGGCATTTGCCTAGACTATAGAAAGGGTTAGGCATCGGTAGCAGAGTACGGAGAGGACTGAGTCAGGGCAGCGTAAGAGGATGATATTTGCCAGGTCTCAGGAGTAGTCTTAGAGTAGTTACAGGCCCCAGTACTTTGAACGACCACCTAAACCTCCGCCACCTCAGCTATAGGGTTACAAGTATGACCACTATACTCAGTCAAGACCAGGTGAGAGCTCCCACGCATCAAGTTTGCAACGACAACGAGGTTCGAGACAAACAAGGTCGTTTCTACTACGGTGGCCATCTGCGGTTGAGGATACTTGGGCCAATGTCGAGCCGGTTCCGATGCTTGTTATACATGTGTTGTCCAGGGCATATGATGCGAGATTGCCCAAATAGAGATTTTGGGGGTATGGCGCAACCAGCGAATTCAGCGACATGATCAGTTATGTCCGTGCATCCTTCAGGGCACAAGTCTAAGTCTTTGGCTGGTAGAGGTCGAGGCAGAGGTAGATGGTCCAATTTAGGTGGTAACCAGAATCGTATCTATGCGCTAGCAGGTCGACAGGACCAAAATTCCTTACCAGACGTTGTGACAGGTATGTTGACCATTTGTTCTTACGATGTTTATGCCTTGATAGACCCAGGATCTACTTTATCATGTATTACCCTATTTGTCGCGCGAAAATTTGGTATAGTGCCTGAAATACTAAGCGATCCTTTTGCAGTATCTATACCAGTCGGAGAATCGATTATCGCTAGATACATTTATCGAGGTTGTACGATATCAGTTTGTGGTCGTCAGACCTCAACCGACCTACTTGAACTAGAGATATTGGATTTCGATGCTATCATGGGCATGGACTGGTTGGCAGCTTGTTATGCCACATTTGATTGTCGATCAAAGATAGCTAGATTTCATTTTCTGGGTGAGCGAGTCCTTGAATGGGTAGGTAATACAACGACACCCAGAGGCAGGTTTATTTCCTATCTGAAGGCAAGGAAAATGCTCGCAAAAGGGTGCATTTATCATATTGTGCGAGTTAAAGATGCATGTGCTGAGATACCTGCACTTCAGTCCATTCCAGTAGTAAAGGAGTACGCAAATGTATTTCCAGATGAACTTCCAGGTATTCCTCCAGAGCGAGAGATTGATTTTGGCATCGATTTTCTTCCGAGAACGCAACCAATATCCATCCCTTCGTAAAATGGCACCTGCCGAATTAAAGGAATTGAAGGAACAGTTAAAAGATTTACTGGAGAAAGGTTTCATAAGACCCAGTACCTTACCTAGGGGTGCACCGGTATTGTTTATACGGAAGAAAGACGGCTCGCTAAGAATGTGTATTGACTATAGGCAATTGAACAAAGTAAATATTAAGAATAAGTACCCCCTTCCAAGGATAGACGACTTGTTTGATCAATTACAGGGAGCTAGATGCTCTTCAAAGATAGATTTAAGGTCGGGGTACTACTAGGTCAGAGTTCGGGCGAAAGATATTCCCAAGACCGCCTTTAGGACCAGATATGGCCACTTTGAGTTCCTTGTTATGTCCTTCGGGTTGACGAATGCACCCACCATATTTATGGACTTGATGAATAGCCTATTTCGGCCATATTTGGATCTGTTTGTGATAGTCTTTATTGATGATATTATGGTTTATTCACGTTTAGAGGATGAGCATGTGGATCACCTGCGAATAGTACTTCAAACCCTCCGCGATAATAAATTGCATGCTAAGTTTTCTAAGTGTGAGTTCTGGTTAAAGTCCGTAGCATTCTTGGGGCATATTGTCTCCGACGGAGGT